CCCTCGGCGGGAGCGCCGCCACGCTCCCAAGCGGCGCACTGTAGCTGTGCGCCACCGGGCCGGCCCTGAAGCATATTATTCTGCCCTTGTTTTCATGTTCTGTGATTTTAAACTTAGCTCAATATGACTGGAGACTTGGGTATAAAAAAGTGCTTGGAATGAAGGTGGGTATCATAAAACAAAACACAATTACTAAAGGATAATGACTTTTGGGTAACTTATTTGTGCATAGCTCTTTCCAATATATCAAAGTGCTTATCCAGCATAATTCATGCATTTGTTTCTTGCAGTTTCCCTGGAAGTTAGGTCATGCAGGTGGTATTACTATCATAGAGAGGTACAATCACTTGCCTAAAGTAGCAGAATGCGCTTCTACTGAGTTTTGTTTCTAAACTTTTCCACTCTGACATGATGTTCTTCAGATAATATTGTAACATTCTCATCAAATTGAGCTCTTATAGAAGGAAGGTGAGATCTTCACCAATAATATGAATTTGTATACCTTTGGAATTTGACATATGTGGACAATACAAATTCACATAAACCTTGAAATGGAAATCATTATCTTTAAAAGCTTGAGAGTGATAAACCAGAATGCTTATTGGGCCTGAGCTCTGAGAATGAAGGTTAGAGCTCTTTGTCCTCAGTGAGGACGCAGCAGCCCTACTAGAACACAATCCTGCTGGAATACAGTCCTAGACTTGTCCCATGGGACCGGGATGGAGGTGCTTAGTTGTAAAGATAGAGTGGTTAAGAAATAGCTTTGGCTCCTGCTTCTGCCACTTACTGACTGTGCCAGAACTTGTGAATAAGTTCCTGAAATTCTCGAAGCTTCCAATTTCTCAAATATAAGTGGGCATTAGTGCGTAACTTGATATGGTTATGAAGAATCTGTGAGACAGTGCAAATAAAAGGCTCAGCTCAGTGCATGGCCAACAAATGGAAGTTGCTGCAGTTGTTTCTATTATAATAATGACCACAGAACACAGACTCTGGAGCTGTGTGGCTGGGTTAGAATCTCAACTGCACTTCCTACCAGCTGTGAGACTGTGGGCAAGTTAGTTAACCCCTCTCTGTGTTGGTTTCATCATCTGTAAAATGCGAATAAGAATAGTACCTACTTTATAAGGTTATTATATGGATTAAATGTATTATGTGGATTAAATGCACATAACATAATGTTAAGTCAATGTTTGCTAATAATAATACTTCTGACTTTTAAAAACCTCCCTGTCTTGGGTCCACTGAGTTTTGTGTTTGACTGAATTTCCATGTCATACACTGAGACTTTCAGGAAATACAGCCAGAGTTCTAGAAATAGGAAAAGGGAGTATTTTGATTGTTGAAGTTTTACAGTCCAACTGAATCAGTTTATATGCACTGCACACCCTGGGGACAGAGGTAAGCGTGGCTTTCTACACTTCCTCCACGCTATCAGGCCCTGCCCCGTTGTGGTGAGTGAGGGAGGATTGCATTACAGTTTGGCCACTCCCTTCCTCTTGTGTACACTCACTGTATTTAGGCAGGTCTAGATCAGATTAATATGTTGTGTATTGCCTTGAGTCCAGTTGATTCTAGAACAGCTGGCTATATGAGCCAGAATGTCAAAGTCCAATTTTAGATCAAAGTCCCAGAAAATAAAATATTCAGAAGGTCGGTACCTGTATTGCAGTTGGGCTGAGCTGTGGTCGGGTCACACCCTGCCACCAGCTCCCAGTTAGCCACTCCATTGGTAGAACAGGTGCATTTCTCTCAGAGTTTTATCCTCTTTATCTCTATTGGAAGCAAAATGCCAGGTGTGATTATAATCTAAATACACGTGTATAGTGAAGATTCTGGGGAGAGTGTTTATTTTCCAAAATGGAAGGGGTT